GGGGGGGGGGGGGGGCGGGCGGGGAATGGGGGGTAACGCATCATTAAAAGAATCCACGACTTGTTTGCGATTAAATTGCCAGAATCACACCAATCCAACACTTCTATAATCTTGAAGACACCATAGGTCATAGGTCACCTAAAAAAGGTCACATCAAACGGAGGCCCCCCACAAGAAATCTCCAAACCAAAGACTAAATTGTATTGAAAGTGGTGATTGACTTCAACCAATTATCAGGAGATTTCAGATGTTTATCAAAACATGTCGGGGAAAGATCCTGCAGATACAAAAAAATCTGAAACTGACCTGAAATGAGATCAGAGGGCAAAGTTCACGAACTTATCTTGTGAATCGGAAAATAAGAAGATGGAAATGGAGATAGATGGGCCGTACCAAAATCCCATCTCACCACACGAACATCATTATGGAATCTGCAAGGAGATAGATAGTGATGAATACCACTGACCACAGGGGTATCGGACCTCAAGACACAAACGCTCACACTCAAACACACACACTAACCTAGATGGAAAAGACTTAGAGAGACTGAGAGAGAGAGAGAGAGAGAGAGAGAGAGAGAGAGAGAGAGAGAGAGGAAAACCACGCCAAACATGGAAGAGGAACATGAATATGTACACACACAAACACAGAGAGAAAGAGAGAAAGAGACAGAGACAGGAAGGCAGAGAGTCAGAAATACTGGGGGTCTTAAAAGAGCATTGAAAATCTACAGGGGGCTGGGGGGGGGTTGTCTGGAGTGGTTCCATATGTTTCAGATTTATGTTTAAAATGTCTTAAAATGTGTGGACTCGGACATGAAATTTTGATCATTTTTTTTCCCCGAATGACGTAGAGACCAGCTGGTCGAGACTTGGCATTTCTGCCAAAACTAAAACTTTAAAAACGGCGTCATTAAAGAAGACACTTGACACAGACTCTTCACTGTTCTTCTTTTTTTTTTTAAATTTTCATTTGAATAACACAGAGGTTCTTATTTAGAGAGGACACAGAGGTTCTTATTTAGTGAGGACACATATTTTCTAATTTAGTAAGGACACAGAGGTTCTTATTTAGTTAGGACTCATATTTTCTAATTTAGTGAGGACACAGAGGTTCTTATTTAGTGAGGACACATATTTTCTAATTTAGTGAGGACACAGAGGTTCTTATTTAGTGAGGACACAGAGGTTCTTATTTAGTGAGGACACATATTTTCTAATTTAGCGAGGACACAGAGGTTCTTATTTAGTGAGGACACATATTTTCTAATTTAGTGAGGACACAGAGGTTCTTATTTAGTGAGGACACATATTTTCTAATTTAGTGAGGACACATAGGTTCTTATTTAGTGAGGACACATATTTTCTAATTTAGTGAGGACACAGAAGTTCTTATTTAGTTAGGACACATATTTTCTAATTTAGTGAGGACACAGAGGTTCTTATTTAGTGAGGACACATATTTTCTAATTTAGTGAGGACACAGAGGTTCTTATTTAGTGAGGACACATATTTTCTAATTTAGTGAGGACACATAGGTTCTTATTTAGTGAGGACACA